AAAAAAGATTTGAACAGCTAATTCAGGTAGACTGAGTAGATATTTATCTCTTTTTGTTAAAAATGTATATTCTAGTAATGCAGCACTTCAGCTTTATTTTAGATATAAAGAATCATTATTCATATAAAATTTAGAAAGTATATTACGAATTGTAAATATTACTCTCAAAACGTAACAAACATCAGCATTTTCTTTGAAGTTCTTCGAGATATTTCTCTCTTTTTTGCCATTCAGCATGATTGGGACCAAATGCATGTTTAGCAATATCAACAGCTCTTTGAGCATGTTCAATAGCCTCATTGTATCGCTTAAGACTTTCCAATGCTCCTGCCATGTTTCCATGAGTCACAATTAATGATGGATGATTGGATAGAAGAGATTTTTTTTGGATTTCAAGTGCCTGTTGGTAATATAAAAGTGCAGTAGAACTATCATCCATGTTTCTATATACTAAACCAATGTTACTATAGGTAGTAGCAAGAGATGGATGATGAGGTGGAAGATAATCACGTTTGATTTCTAGTGCTTCTTTATAATTTTTGAGTGCTTCAGGATACTTTTTTTGATCATCAAATACTGAACCAATATTATTGTAATCAATAGCAATTTCCAGTGGATTGGGTTCTGGCATTGCAAGATCAATCTTAAGAGCATGTTCATAATATTTCAATGCTCTATCAAGTTCACCTTGTTTTTTAAGAATTCCCCCAATATTCGAGTATGTACTAGAGAGTCGAGGATCATTAGATGACATAGAACTTTGGCTAATTTCAAGAGAGTGTGTGTAATTAGAAAGTGCTTCAGCTAAATCACCTTGTTGTTTGCAAACATATCCAAGTTGATTGTGAAGGAAAGCACATTCTGTCTTGTCATCACAAGATATTCTTTTGAGTAGTGTATTATAGATTTCTTCAGCTTTTTTAAATTCTCCCATCTTGATCATTAATTGACCAAGTCGACGCCATCCATTTCCGTCTCCTAGTGAAAGACGCATATGATCCGTAAGACGAGTTAATAGTGGATCATTGTCATCTGTTAAGGTTAAATTCACTTCCCACAGCCAGCTTTCTAATTTCTTTATCTCACCAATTCGAAATACCGTAGACATTGAGAAAAGGATTTCATATTCTGATTGAATAGCACTTAAATGACTTATTGGAGCGAAGGGAATCGATGAAATGGAAGAGTTCATTTCTATTTGAAACAAAATGCATGTTAGATGGGGTTTATTTTTATTGGAACCAGCGAAATCTATGGCGACCATTCTGTTGGTGCTCGTTGAGAGAAAATAGTTAAAAGACAAAAGACCACCTTCTTTAACTTTCTTCAGTTTTGCAAATTCGTCATTGAGCATGCCTTGCCCTCGAAAAACGATAGGTGGAATTTTATTACTATCTAATTCGGAATGAAGTTGTTTGATTTGTCCATGAAGATCCTGAATGAAAAAACCCATTTTAATAAGAAGTTCAATGTCAACTGTTCTTAAAGCGTTGTTGAGCATCCTGTATAGAAAACACTCTACAGTGTACCACCAAATTGGCGACTTTTGACGATATTCTACTTTAAATTGATCAAATATTTTTGTGCCATTTTCAGTCTCTTGATAACGTGGACGACAATAATCCACTAGTTGTTGCCGTTCCATTTCATTATCATATTCAATAGTTAAAATATTTTCTTTAAATAACTGAAAATACATAAATAATGGATCGACACTATTCAGATTATCTATTGATGACTCGGGAACAATACTAATTGGTATAAAATCATTATTTAATTGATGAACTCTTTCTTTAAGTACATTGCAAAGTGCTTCAATCTGATTAAAAATTCCTTTGATCTTTATATATGCTTCGCTCCATTGTTCATTTATCGATTTATGATTACTAAATATATAGATTGAATCAACTTGAATGAATTGTTGAGCGACAGGAACGATTTGTTGAGCAAGAGAATTTGAAACAATTAAAAAAACTTTTACATCTTTAATCTCAATAAGAGTCTTGACGCATTGATCGATATCAGTAAAGAATTTGATCGTATTCACAATAGATCGAATTTGAGAAATTAGTTTTTCATTTAAGTTGTTTAAATTCGGTTCTAACCAAAATATAATAAACTTCTCACTAACTTGAAACTGTGATTGTTCTAATAAAATATTATTCGTTGTAGATTGTATTTGGATGTTAGCAGGTTTGGGTGAAGGCTTAGTAGTAGTTGATTTTGAAACTGTATTTGTTTTTTTCGAAGACGTTGTGCTGAATTTTGTGTTCTTTTGTGCCATTACACGTCTGTAAAATAAAAATAAAATTGTTCTGAATAAATAGTTGCATCATTTCAACCTACTTGTTTGTTTTCCAATAACTTGAAAGAACAATAAGTGAAATAACAAACAATTAATATCCTTTATCTACAATTAAAATTTATTTCAACATTTTGTAAGAATATTTGTTTGTTGATGTTAAACGAGTTCAAGTTAGTCTGAGCAAGGTTATTAATAGTGATGGAATATACAGTGCGTGCCAATTGAATTTTCTCCCTTTATTTTTCTTTTGTTTTTTGTTGCTTTATTCCCTTTATTTTTAAACATACTATATATAGGAAGAAAGTACGAAACGAGCTGCATCTTATGGTATATTCAGCTTGAACAACAAATAAAGTTTGAAAGATAAAAAGTTAATTAGAAAAAAGAATAGTGTTGTTTTTTTCTACAATATATATGGCGATCTTGATTATAATAAAAAAAGATCCATAAAAAATCGTTAGGATCGGCCGTAATATTTATCAATTCCATATGTAGTACCACGTTTTCGATATGCATTACTAATTTCTTTTCTTGGTAACAAATAAAACGTTTCCGGTAACAGTAAAGGTATGTCTGTTGCAACTAATAGATGTTGATTTCGAATTTGTTGTTTAAACGAATGCCAAAGTGGATTAACCAATGATGATAAATACTTGGCAGATACTGTCGGCATATAAAGAATTTTCACAACTGATTTACGTTTACCAGCTTGTAAAACTTGCATCATATTTGCTTGATTACGAGCATAACTCTTGTCATAAACCAAAAAGATATTGTCGATACATTTTTGTGGATATATTTTTCGATCAGTTGTAATGTGTATACGTACATATGTAGGAAAGCATATAATATAGTGTCGACATTCTCGCATGCGAATTGACATGGTACATAACGTAATATGACTTGATTTCCAACTGGCTAGCTTCAAATGTTTCATCAACAAAAAATTCTTGTCCTTTGCCTATTAATTCGAGTGTATTTATAGGTAGGATGCTACATAAACATAAGGTGTGGACTATCCGAACTCATTGAATATACTTGTGTTGACATAAAAGCAATAAGCAAACAAAATTTACTGAACTCACGCTATACATTGTAGAAAAAAAACAACATTATTTTTTTTTCCAATTAACTTTTTATCTTTCAAATTTTATTTGTTGTTCGAGCTGAATATACCATAAGATGCAGCTCGTTTTGTACTTTCTTCCTATATATAGTATGCTTAAAAATAATGGGATTAAAGCAATAAAAACAAAAGAAAAACAAAAGAAGAAAATTCAATTGGCCTGCACTGTAGTTTTCAAATTTGTATTGACCGTTAAAATCGAAATTGGTTCAAATAAGAAAGGTGCTTTAGCAATACTGGTGTGACGGTAGTACCGACGACTACTTTTTTTTCTGAGAATAGTACAAAACTGACTCAATTTGCACAGAACATTAATGTCCATAGGTCTTCAACACCTTTGGATTCAACGAATCTCATTAGTTGGTAAATCTTTTAATACTTCATTACAATGTGACAGATTTTCGGCTGCGATGGACATTTCTACAACGAATTAACAATTTCAGGGAACATGCTCTAAAATTTTAGTATAATAAATCATATAAAAAATTCGTCTTATATCTATCGGTTTTATGAATACAATGAATCGAAAGATCTTACAAATTGAAACGTTGAAACCATATTAAAAAAAAGTAAAGAATTATTGTCGTCAATCGATGGTATAAAGAGGTATACATTCAAAACATCATTCAAGCTTATCGTCATTTTTTATCGATCTTTGATTTGACATAATCGATTTCGTTTATCAATACTTGACAGGCAAAATTAAAATTCAAGTCTATGAAATCAATACATTTTCTTTGACCAATAACAATATTCAACCATCCTGTAGGCTGATATCCAGCTTCGACTCTCACTGGAATAAATGGTCGTTTGCGTTTGTGAGCATATTCACCTTCCAATCGACATACTGATGATTCTCGATACTTATTTGAAAAACACATAATAACGATATCCGCTTTCTCCATTGCTGACGCTACGACTTCTGGATTAGCGCTGTGTAAATATTGTTTATTCATCCATAGTTGATAATGTTTTACTGTTTTTAATTTATCAAAAATTTGATCACATATTTCTTTATCATCAAGACAATAACTGATCATTACATGTGTGTCTTCTATTTGAAAATCAGATAAATCAAAACGATGATCACCTCTAATATATTGATAAAGAGCTTTTGATTCGTCAAATTTAACACTTGGTTTAATATATTCAATAATTTCTTGATCTTTTTCTTTATTTTCTTCTTGATTTTTGATAAATTTTTTTTCTTCATCAATTTTCCATTGAATTGCATTAGCTGTCCATCTTTGTTTTGCATTATTCGAAATAAATTCATCATGAACATAATCAAGAAGTGGATCAATATTTTTTATTTTTTCAATAGCAACATCTCCAGCAAATGAAACTGATAAAATAATTCTTAGAGCCGGATGTCGAATATCATCATCGAAATCTTTACCATATGCACATTTTGCAATCAGCTGTATACCTTGATCATCATTAGCAATCTCTTCTTTAATTTGATCATTTTGAACAATTACTAAAGTAAAAAAGATGATTTCATTCTTGTCGATATGTATCTGAATTAATCTATTACATATTGAAGTTATATTCGAGGTGAGCGACGGAAAAATTCGAAAAACTATGGAATTCTGAAGACAGGAACATAATGCTCATTTATTCATTATTTAATTATTTTTCAAAGTTTTTCAACAGGATCCACATGTTTGAATCATCTACTTAGAAGATGATATGTGAAATCGTAGGCTTCTTTTATTATCTGAATTCTCAATAAGTATTTTCCTATATATTACTATTGAAAAGAACTAGTATATGAAATAAAATATATAATATAGATTTAATTGTATGTCTTACTTTTCTAATGCAAATAGGCTCAAGATTGGGATCAATCAATAATTTTTATAAGATCTATTGCAAAGCTGAAACCTTACAAATATCTGCTATGTTATAAACAAGTGTTTTGTTGCTTATATTCTAAGGCAAAAATTATGGTCAAATTTAATAAAATAAATACAATATAATCCATGATAAATTAATTTCATTGAAAAAAGGTTAATGTCATAATGTGAAGTTCTTGAATCTATTTGAAAATTTATAAAGACTAAATCTTCAATTCAAACTATAGAGTGAATGAACTTTAACATCTTATGTATATGCAAAGTTATTAAATCTAACTTTAATTTTAAGCACTAGTTCTCAAAAATCAAGTTTTATGTATGTTTAGATCAGAAATTTTGAAATCAACATACTTTCAAGATTAGTTAATACCCCATTTAATTTTACTCCATGATATATACGTGATGGTTCATCAATCATATTTTCAATGTAAAACAAATAAGTTTGAGCAGTTTTTGATGGATTATTTATTTCATCAATATCTTTTTGCTTTAAAATAGCAAATAATGTATATGAACCAAATTTTATTGTTTGATCTTTTGCTTCTTGCAAGTCTGAACAAGCAGCTAAAATAGTTTCATTTTCTTTTAATCGAAAAAAAATTTTCTTTTCAAATATTAAATTATATAGTAAAGTTATTGCATATGATACCATACCAACATCAGCATGAAATAATTGATGATTACGAGTAACACTTTTAATTAAAGATGGTTGTGATAATATCATAACCATTTGGTCAATGATTCTTCTGTTCTTTCCTGAAAATGAAAAATAAACAAAAAAAAAATATTGCCATCATAATTATCTGAAGATTGAAATCGTTTTACTCATATCTCAGAAATATGAATGGACTATAGTCTCGATGCGTACATTGTATTGTAGATTACAGATAAAGTAAAAAATTACGAAATTAAGAAAGCTCAAACTCTTAAACTTTTCTTCATACAAAGAAAACGAATTACGTATATTGATCGAATAATTTCAAAAAGACACGATAAATCTGCTCTTCAAATTTGTCCTCGCAATATTTTCTGAGTACAATTCGTGACGTACAGATAGTATATTCAAAATTTCTCTTGAATTTCAGACGTAACTGTGCCATCTTTTTTTTATCAAAAGATGGCCTCGAAATTCTGTACAAAACCATATATGATTGGAGCCGAAAAATAATTTTAGATATATTTGAAATGAAAGTTTATCGTGTTGAAACAAAGCGTATATCACTGATATCACACGAAAATTTTGATTGTTTCCTATAACAGGAGGTCAAAGAGTCAACTATAACGCGAGCTAATTTTGCAAACTATATATTTGACGATGATTCGTTAAAGGTTTACGCGCTTTACCTTAGTCGACAATAGTGTACTACCATCCATTTCAAAATAGAAGACGAGTGATTGCGAGTCAAATAACTCGAGAATGTAAGTAGCTATGGAGCTGCTGTTTTCACCATTACAAAGCGGACGCTAGGGCACGTAAATCTATGGAAAATTTTCATTGCTCAGTAATGGATCAATAAGATGAAAGTCCGCTAGACATTTTAAAAATAGCTTTTGGAAAGCTTGTTTCGCTGAATTTTGAACTTAAATTAAACCACTCGATAGAAAAAATTGTTCTCTTTCGATCTACACAAGATCGAGCTCGATAGCTTGCTCCATTCGATAGCTATAAGCATTTTCCGGAGACCTCAGAAATCGGTTAGCTGACGTGGAATCACCCTTAAAAGAATTACATTATAGGCAATCGACTGCGCTGAATTCAGTAGTGATGTTTATTTTTCATTTCAAAGTAACCTGACATCATTATAAAAAAGTTTTCGTAAATTTAGTTTTTGCTACTATTTGGCTTAAAGAACATGTATATTGAAAATCTCGATACAGTGATCTCAAATTACTTTGAAATAAAAAAATAAACATCATCACTGAGTTCAGCGTGATCGATTATCTATAATGTAATTCTTTTAAGGGTGATTCCACGTCAGCTAACCGATTTCGGAGGTCTCCGGAAAATGCTTATAGCTACCGAATGAAGCAAGCTCTTGAGCTCAGTCTTGTGTAGATCGAAAGAGAACAATTTTTTCTATCGAATGATTCTAGTGGCGGAACCAGGATTTTTTGGTATGCTGTAGCTCAGCTTTAGAGCATAGGATCCAAATGAGATTTATGGAGATTGATATTGGTCCCAAATGATGACTTTCTATGAAACGATTTTTATGATCAAAGTTTGCGAAAAAAATTAGCATTTTCCTGAGCTCCCCTAAGAAATATTTAATACTTTTAGTAGTATCCGCTTTTTGAGAATGCCATTGTAAGCTACGTTGAATTTCATCGACAGATTTCAAATTTCATCTAAAAATATTCATCCACTTAGGAGTTATAACGTTTTGAACTTCTGAGGTAAATTTTTTGAAATGTAGGAAAACTTCAAGAAGCCATAACTCCTAAACGGATGAATATTTTTAGATGGAATTTGAAATCTGTCGATGAAATTCAGCGTAGCTTACAATGGCATTCTTAAAAAGCGGATACTACTAAAAGTATTAAATATTTCTTAGGGGAGCTCAGGAAAATGCTAATTTTTTTCGCAAAATTTGATCGTAAAAATCGTTTCATAGAAAGTCATCATTTGGGACTAATATCAACCTCCATAAATTTCATTTGGATCCCATGCTCTAAAGCTGAGCTACAGCATACCAAAAAATCCTGGTTCCGCCACTAATCGAATGGTTTAATTGAAGTTCAAAATTCAACGAAACAAGCGTTCCAAAAGCTATCTTCAAAATATCCAGCAGGCTTTTATCCTATTGGTTTATTACTGATCAATGAAATTTTTCCATAGATTTACGTGCCCCGATGTCCGATTTTTAATAATAAAAATCGTACGATTCAATAAAGTTCTTCACATACCTATAATGAAATATCTTCTTGTTGCTGGTGTCAAAGCAAAATGATTTAATAGTTTAATATGTAAACTAATTGCTTGTATTTTTGCACCTCTTATGCATACAATATTTTCTAAATCTTCTCCTTCTAATGAAACTGGTAAATGTTGTCTAAGAATATCTCGAGTATATTCCAACATTGGTAGACATAATAAATTGGATAGTTGATCTTGTTGTTTCAAACAACGTTGAATAATAAATTCTGGACATTCACAAATAAAAAATAATTGTTTAGGATTAAAAATTGCTTGACGAAGATCAATTGTTTTAAAAGTATTAAGATAAAAATTTGAATTTAAACATTGAATAATTGGATCAATCAATAAACTATGATCAATTTCATTTAATTCAATACAAAGACGAAGTAAACTATGAGTAACTTTGTATTTAACATGAAATGGTTGATAATCATTAATAATTAAATCATGTGTAATAATTTTAATAAACTTTTGAAAAAATGATTTTGTGAAAAAGATTTTTTGATATGATACGGGATCGTATTTTTCTTCATTGTTAGGATTCAATTTTTCATTATTAGCAATAAAAAAATTTGATGCCGCTATATTTTTATGTAAACATAAATTGACTATAAAATAACTTAAGTCATAAAAATATTGTTCATCGGCTTTGGTCATAGAGATTAATCTTGCTTTTGATAATAACATTTCAAATGTACGTCCAAGAATAATGAAAAATTCATGTTTTATGATTTCTATATTATCAAATGGTATAAGCATATGAACTGATGCTAATTCATGACAAATTGTGGCTAACTCATGTAAACCATTTGCTCGATTATTAGTTGTATTTAAAAATAAGACAGTTTCATCAAGTATTTCTTTCACATTTTCAATTGTTAAAAATGAATGTTGTCTTTGAAGTTGATGAATCATAGCTAATGGTCGTTTAAGTATTAAATCCATTTAAATATAAAGAAAAATATATTCTATTTTTGTTTATCTAAAGTATACTATTGAACATAGCTCAATTTACATTAAAATAGTTATTAAGTACGATTAGAAATATCCCCAGCATGATATTACGCCGAGATAAACAATAAGAAAAGTTCCTACTGCTACAATACCATTCAAAAAAAAAATTGTTTCAAATTTCACAGTCGTCATAGTATTGACATAGATATGAATCCCGATCTGAGCGAGCATCTTCTGTTCACCCTCTATGGACACCCACCCTGTCCAGAAATTACAGAAGACAAAAAAATGCTTACAAAAGTGCCTCATTATCTAAGTGCCATCCATTATACGTAAAGTTAGATTTTTTATTATTGGTAGAAGTTGTTTAGGAACATGATACGCATTTAAGATACGGGAAATCAGGAATTTGAAAAGGTGACATCAATGAGACGCCAATTTTCTAAGGAGTTACATGAATTTCGGTCAAAGAAATTTCAAATTTGGACTCTTGGCTCGGACTGAAATTTTTGTGACTTTTCAGCTTAGATCTGATTCCTCTCATTAATTTCCGTGAGAATCCAATCTAGATATCCGTTCGAAGTCGTCAAATTGTGAGGATGAGTTCAAATTTGGATGCTCTATCCTTGACTACCAGCGGGTCAATTTTTATGAAAAACGACGATGTCAGATACGATAACATGTTGCTAGATATGAGAGTCTTGATTTCGATACACGCCTAATTCATAACGTCTGCTAATTTGAAAGAAGTAATATTAACTCACAGCTCTCTTTTTTCATATGTTCATAGATAGCAAGCAAGCATTGAAAAGATGGAAAGACTCAAAGAAAAAGAAATGCGAATAGAAAAAGATTCAAACTCCCAAATAGTTTCGATCTAATTTTAAGCTATTGATTGTGAAAATATGAGCTCGAATGATTAACTTTTCAATGTCTTTTATCTACTTTTAAAGACTTATTGTATTGTAATATATAATTTTCTTCAGAGTCCTATACTTTGGAGAGTATATCCTTTTTGATGTAGATACTGAGAATACAGTCTTATGTGAGAAGATGTGATCATTTTAATGTTTGAAAATAAAATTTCACGAAGTAATTTTAGTATTTAATTCTAGAGAATAGGCTGTTTTACAACCATTTCTGCGAATTAAGAATTACCGAATGCAGATCCTTTATAAACAAAAAACAAGAGTTTTGATTTTCTTTTTTTTTATTACCTTACAAAATTAATCAAATTCATTAGAGTATAATGGCAAAAAAATTTGTATGTTTAATAATAAATTAATTAGTTTGTTTTTATTGATTGTCTTGATGATGTATTACAAAATTTCTCGAATTCAATTATATTTTGTATTTGCTGTTGAATAAAATTTGCTCGATGTGGAGATCGATGTTTAGTTTTCCAACGTTTATTATTTGGATTATCAAGTTCATTTTGTGTTCGTATTTCTTTTCTTGTTTTCAATTCATTTCCAATTTTTCCTTGTAAAATATTCGAATCTGAAGTAATTTTATTTTCATTAATATTTCTTATTAATTCTACAGTTTGTTCTATTATACGATTCCAAACTGTTGGTTTTTTCTTAGATTTTTCCGTGATCTTGTTCTTTTGTTTTACACGATATTGTTTCAGTATTAAACTATCTTGTGTAATATCCCAACCAGTTGTACCTTTTTTAATTTCTGTTGTAAAATCAGTATAACTAATGGCTTTGAAAAGCTTCATATCTAATCTATTATTCTCGTTAATAATATGTTGAACAACTTCTGGAACTTTATCTTTTCTGTTTTCTCGTAATTGAACATCTCGATCAATTAGTTTTTGAAAATAATGAGATGCTTCACGTTGATTATACCATGAACCAATGATAGATGATAAGTAATTCCTATCATCGTTCGCTATTATATGGTCTAAAGGTGGATATTCATTTTTTGTCCACCATGCTTCTTTATCTTTATATATAACTGGAAATATAGCATCATTGAAATCTCCAGTTAAAGTAAATGGTGGTATATTACCCAATATAGCACTTCCATTCGATGCTTTTTCTATCCAACGTTCAATAGATGATAGGAATACGATAGTATAATCGTTAAGTTCATATGTTTTTTCTAAAAACAAAAAACAAAAAATGTTTCATAAATATGAATATATATTCGATATGTGTCTATATACAAAATTCTAAACATATCAGAAACCAATCATTTAAAAAATTAATGAATAATGCTGCAAATTAAAAATTTCAACTTCTCTCTGTAAATCAATATGATCTATATAAACACATATTATAGATAGTTGACTGAAATACAGTTTTGTAGAGAAAGATTAAAATGAAATGTTATGGTTTCTTTCTTGATCATAGCTAAATATTTTTCATCGTAAACTTTAATCACTCAAAGAAATTACGAGAATATTTTCATTTTTGTCAAAAAAAAATGGTTTTTACATATGATATCTTTTATGTCGTTCTACAACACTATGTTAACTTTATTTTTTCTTTATTTTCTTGTTTTAGAAACGAACAAAAAATCTTCATCTATCCAAAATTTGTGAGTTAATGGAATAGAATAGTTTACCTTCGTCACGGGATTTATTTTCATCATAACGAAAACCACCATTCTTGTAATCTTCGATGACTATTTTTGCAAGTTCAATGAATTCTTCTAAAAGATAAGTTGGAATCTTCTGTCGTTCAATTAATTCTTTCACTTTTTCTTTATAAATTTTTCTTCGTTGTTCTATTTGTTCGGTAGTTAATTGTAATGATGAATTTTGTCGTTCAGATGTTTTTTGTTGTTGTTGTTGATCTTCGTTAAAAACATTTTGTGATACTGAATATGTATGACCAACTAGACCCGGTTTTGTATGATGAAGCTCAAAGAAAAAAAAAGAATAGAAAAAATCTTCTCAAATTAAACTTAATTAGCTACTAATGAATGCTAAATTTTGAATAGAAAACTTCAATTATTATATTGAAAATTAGTGTCATGAGTTGAGAAAGCATTTCTAACTTCTTTTAGCATCGATAACTTTTATTTGAAACTGATATTCATTTTACAAAAGAGATCGTTATAATGCTCGCATCAATAGATGCAACGTATGCTGAAATGTGTGTTTATAAGGACAAGAAAATATTTTCCAAATTGCTCTTTATGTTGTTATTCAAACTCAGATACATCCATTGGTCTTATTTTAAAATATGAATAGCAGATTATCTTGAGACTTATTCTGTTATGAAATCGATTGCAAATTAGAGATGTCCATAGCGGAGCGATCATGTGGATGAATCTCTCAGTGAAAACCTACTCACATCCAGATCCATTAGAATGGAACACAGTGTTGGTACTAAATGACATGATTCGGAATACATACATGAATGTTGCTTTTATCACGATAGTTCCATGTTTACTTTCTTTTAGATAACTCATTTTTCTCTACATTTATTAAAGTAACTTCGTCATATGGTTTCTTATCATTTTCAGATAAATTTTCATTATAAAAAAAGAATTATTTTATTAAAACAATTTCACATTCTACTTCTGTGACCTATTCTCAAGTACAATAAATTGTTCAATCATAATCTAATCGGTTTTTATTTCTATGCTTTGGTACAGTGAGTCCCAAAATTATTCAGCAAGGTGTAATTTGGATTTTTTTTTCGTAGTCTTAAGTGCTAGAAAGAATCCAAATAATGATTTGAATAGAGAATATTGTTGCCAATAAGAATTCGAGAAAAAGACAACCGTCATAAATTTTCTCAAAACAGAGTTTCTGGAAAACCGAAACTCTGGTTTTTTTAACATCGAGAAGCCGCAATAGAAAACTTGCTTTAACAGTTCAAAATTATAGAGCATCCAATTCTCTACGAAATGAGACGTCTCCGAGCTTTCTATGACCTTTCATTCAAAAGTTGTAAGCATCACAAAAATCGAAAAAAGTGCAATTTATGAAAAAATCGACTAAAAAACGGATTTTTTCGATTTTTGCGACGCTTATAACTTTTGAAGAGAAGATCGTAGAAAGCTCGGAGACATCTCATTTTGTAGAGTATTGGCTGCTCTATAATTCTGAACTGTTAAAACAAGTTTTCTGTTGTGGCTTTTGGATATTGAAAAACCAGAAATTTGGTTTTCCCGAAACTCTACTTTGGGAAAATTCATGACGATTATCATTTTCTCGAATTCTTGTTGACAACAATATTCTCTATTCAAATCACTGTTCGGATTCTTTCTAGCACCTAAGGCTACAAAAAAATATCCAAATTACACCTTGTTGAATAATTTTGCGACCCGCTCTATATATAGCAGTTTGAAAAAGTAAAAATATGTTGAAATGTCGAAGTCTCAGATATGGTCGAATCGAGTACCAGATACCTGATTTGACTGCATGATTCTACTCTACAATGGGGAGAGTAAATGAAAATATATCAGATATCGTAGTATACTAATATTCAATTGATATAATAGACATTTTTTTAAAACTTACTATTTCAATTAATAATTTGTCGTATTTTAAATCAAAATTCTCATCTAACTCGAATCGAATTTCTTCTCCAAATAATTCATAATATAATTCTTGAGTAGTAATATATTGAATCCAGTCTTGTTCTAAGAAATTTTTTGTTAAAAAGACTGGAAGAATTTTTTTTTTAATTGTTTGTGCAAATTTTAAATCTGCCAAACAATTTTCATCTGTTGTATAATTTTGACTAAAAAGAACAAGTATTAAATCTGATTTTTGAAATTTCTGTCGTATTATAGCAGTTGGTGCATTATAACGATTGACATGTACTAAATAACCTTCATCAATTAGACGATCGGCAAGTAATTGTGAAAATGTTTTATCATTAACAGAACAACTTATGATAATATTAAATGCATCCGCCATATTGCCAAACATTTGCATCGTAGATGTAAGCCGATAGCTGGATTTTTTCGCATACGCAATTGATCCTAGATTCTTTTGTCTTAAAATTTCCTCTATGAATTCATATTTTTGTTTCACTTTATTAACAGCAAATATTGAACCAATTAATATTAATCGTCTATTGGTTAGACTTATTTTTGGTAAAACAAATTTCTCAAGACAATATTTATAAAAAATATTGATTAAATGTTGATTCCAAATTTCAACATTAAAAGCATTATGAATTTCTATCATTGCAAATTTCGATTTACGCATGTAGCTATTTATTGCTTGTCGACATTTGACAATATTACTATCTTTTGATGCTATTAAACTTATTGTAACACCTGAAATAATGTTATAATCACAGTAGTGTCAAACTTGAAAGTTGAATTCAAGTATTCAAATTTTCAATTAGACGACGCCTGGAATGCTACAGGCATCACCTATGATGCTACAAGAATCCCCTAGCATGTTACAAGAATCCCCTAGCATGTTACAAGAAGTATCAAGAAGCTTGAGCTACCGTGCAGCACTGAGTAGGAATAATGGTGTACACAAAGACGTGCGTGGGTCGCGATTCTTTGGGGGCGCTTCACGCCGCGATGCTAAAATAAAAAGTGTGTTGGGTGGGAAAAAACGCTTCCCCACTGAATATCCGCAGAACACTTGAGAAGTTAAAATTTCAATAGTTGAATAGTTGAATACTTGGGTTCAAGTTTCAAGTATTACATATATGAATAGCTTTCGCCGTATTTATGAAATACGCTTAATGTTAAGATTCATAGAAAGAACTCATTCGTCAATCACGCACAGATTTTTATTTTAGTAAATGTTGCTGAAAGTATCAGGTCAACAATGTTTACTAGAGGAACTTTTTTTCAAAGAACCTTCTGAAACTGCATGAATTAATATAGACTTGCAGTTTTCACAGTTGTATAACTCTAACGAGGATATATTTTTAACTGTGTGGCATCATATGATCTTATATGTAGACTATGAGAAGACTCAATGAAACTAAGAAAACCTTAAAAGAATTCAGGCTTACAGCTTGCTTGAACGAAAATATTATTTTTTTATTGTTTTCTCAACCTTTACTTTTAAAGATATATGCTCTATGCTTCGATCTCATCTACACATTTGATATCTTTTTTGTTGATTCATTTTTTTCTACTTCAGTACATTTGTACAAAAAGATTGAAGATTTGCGTATTGTTTTACATTACTTATCAAATTTGAATTACGAAAATACTTCGATATGGATCGATCTTGCTAAATCAAAATTTAAAACAACTTATGTTTATAGGATATGAGCATAATATTGGAAATATTAATATATTCTGACTAGTATCCTATGGAAATTAGAAATTTTCTCATTTTAACAAAAAGATTTGTTCATTACATACTTGATATAGGATAAAAAAATTGTTCATAATGATTAATTTTCATCGTTAATAATAATATTTTTTGTAAAAATTGATTGTATAAATCAATTTGTTTATCATTAAAAATAAATAAAATTCTCCAATGAAAATTAGATAATTTACTTGTTTCAAGTTGAACTTTTATCTCATTAATGATTTCTTCTGCCAGTCGTTTTTTATTTAAATAATTTTCCCATCCATCTGTAGAAAATGTAATTATAATTTCTTTATTAATACTAAGAATCGAAATATCTCTTAATGAATTTGATATGAAAGTTTTTATTGAATTTTTAAAATCTGTGTCATTTTGATCATTGTTTACTTTCGACCAATCTGGTAAACTGTAGAAAAGTTTAACATTTTTATCAATATCTTTTTTATTGTGTAAATTATTGTCATTTAGTTTACTATTGTCTTCGATATCATTTGTAATCATTGAAACAATAGTAATATCTGCCTAAAATTAAAAAGTAAAAAATAATTGTATTTAAAACAAAAAACGGTTAGCTTAATCCTTATGGGGTTCAAATGTAACACAAGCAAAAAAATTTCATTGAAAATATTCAAATACGATTTGACAGAGTCTGAATTTGGAAATTTTCGGACTCTATTTGGAACTCCTGTCTTCGCCTCTTCTTTACTCAATCTCCCAAATATGCAATAAGGAACTGCTATTGATATACAGTCTATGAGGGAGGGGATGGATGCAAATCTCTATCTGGTGTACTCCAACACTTCTTGTAGATCGTGTTTCATAAGAAAAAAGATTGAAAACCCACCTTTGGTGCAGTCAAGTCATTGACTAAATGAAGTTCTATTGTACTATTTGATATTAATGTTTTTTTCGATATTGATAATGAATAATAAAATTCTTTTGATTGTTTAATGATAAGTTTTGGTGTTGATTTTGACGTGGATGTATTGGTTATTTTTGGTAATGTGATAATTTCTTTCTTGGTTTGCAAATCTATTTTATCAATTTGACATTTAAATTGTCCAGCTATTTCTTCTAATTGTAACTTTTCATTATTTGTTAATATAGAATCATTTCCAATATATTGAAAAGTAATTGGATATTGTTGATCAATTAAATTATTAATTCTTTGCTGGATTTTTATTTTTAAATAATGAGGTACATATAATTGATTTTCTCTTATTCGTATTTTGACATTATCATCTTTATATTCATGTTCAATATTTTCCAATTGATGAACACAATTATCTAATAGATAATTACGCTAAAAAAATAAGATAGAACTAAATGAATGATTCAGATAAAGTAGTTCGAAATCTGTTTCATGGGATGTTCGCAGATGTTTTACTTTAATAATATAAACTATTATAGACGCCAAAATATAAGGCAGGTGATTGTTTTTCGAATAAGTTTCGATAGGAACAAGCTAGAGACCTGCGGTTATCATCATTCGATAGAGGACAGATGTGAACATCCAGACATCTCGAATTTCATTGGTCCAATAAGGGACCAATCAGGTAAATTTCTTGATAGAAGTTTTGAGAACGAGATTCTAAAGAAATTTCACATTACATTTTGATCTGTGGCATCACCATTCGATAGAGGAATTTGTTCTCTTTCGATCTACGCAAAGCCAAGAACTTTAGCTCGTTCCATTCAAGAGATAGGTGAATTTTGCAAAAACCTCAGATTTTGCTAAATTACCCTTTGATGATTCGAAAAACTGTCTGGAGAGAGGTAGTTGATCTTGCTAAGTTGAATGGCAATGTTTATTTTTGGTTTTAAAGCTATTGAGGATGTCTTCAGCAGGATTCCTGAAAATCCATATCTCCTGATATGGAAGGTAAAAACAAGCGGTATGTTTAAAATCTTTCTATAGAGATTTCCAATCGTTTTGAAACCAAAAATAAACGTTACCATTCGAGTTAGCAAGGTCAACTACCTCTCTCCAGACAGCTTTTCGAATCATCAAAGATCAATTTAGCAAAATCTGATGTTTTTGCAAAATTCACCTATCTCTTGAATGGAACGAGCTAAAGATCTTGACTTTGCGTAGATCGAAAGAGAACAAATTTCTCTATTGGACGGTAATATTACAAGTCAAAATGTAATGAGAAATTTCTTTAGAATCTTGTTCTCAAAATTTCTATCAAGAATCCATTCAGAAACTGAATGGCAGTAGATTACTATAAAGGAATATGGAAAAGTGAACAGGTGTTCCATTATATTTAAAAATTTTGTTTTTAAAATTAAATACATCTAAACATCAATTCCTGCGATATTTCTCGCATACTCTACACGAATGATGTGCATCATTATGTGCAAGTCAATTTTCTCTAAACTCGCATATGTATTGAGTCAATTTAAGATGTCGCATGAGAAATTTTATGTAATACATACTTGTGTAAGAGTAAATTCAGTTGTAAATGTCGTTAATCGATTTTGATCGATCAGATATTTTAATTGTCTAGCTGCACGTTTCACTAAAAAATTTTGTCCAAAGAAACTAATTTTTAATTCTGTTTGTCCTGGATAGATACAATAAATGATTGTATATGTTTCTAGTCGTTGTTGTTCTTGTTTTTTTTTAGTGATAAACTGTTCTATTTTTTTTCGGAAATTTTTTTGTATATTTTCAAATTCTGGTATAATTATATCTTGTATATATAATATTTCATTATTAATTATTTGATTTATATAATTTTCTGATATACTAAAAACATCAGTTTTAGTAAAATAATGAACAACATAATATCCTGATAATATGTCCGTCTTGCGCCATACAGTGAATAGTTTTTGTTTATCAAAAATTTTTTGTATAACAGTAATATCCGAATCACAATAAAGATTTTTTGACCAATAGATAACTAAAAATATTAAAAGAAATTCAATAATGATAATTAAGAAAAATGATGAAATGAAGAGACTGAAGATTTCTATTTCTATACTTTCATACTCTATTTATGTTGTGTTTTATAAACTAATTAAAATTATTTGATTTAACCATTGTTTACCTTTTTCATCTATTACTTCATTGTTGAAAATTTTTGTATTAACAGTTTCAAATAATGATTGTAGATCGTTGTAAGCATTTTCTATAGAGTTTTGGACACCTGTTAATTGTATTTGTGTTGCAATATTTTTCTTTTTTTGATCGTCTGATGATATATAACATTTTACATCATATGTATTTGAAATGTACTCTTTTAAACTAGAACAGAATAATTCATTTTTGAAAAATTTCAAATTAATATCCATTGATTTAATATAATATGCAGTTGAACATGTTTTTATATCACTGGTTGTTTTATCCAATTTTTTTGAAATATCAACAGATGAAGCGGCAAGACTAGATAAAAGAAAATTTAAAAGATGAGCTATTAATATCTTGTCGATAGTTCAGAAGTGTCGGAACTTTTTCGAAATAAGTCTATATGTACTATGAACCTTTACTTTATTTATATTTGACATTTATTTTAAAGAAGAAATTGAAAAATTCTTTCGTGGTATATTGCTTATCATTTGTTTCAAAAACCTAGGAAGATTTTTAGTGGCAATAATTCAAAGAAAAGACAATTAATAAACTCAGGATTAAGTTTTCATAGGGGAAAACTTAAGGCACAAATATTTTAATACAACAGAAGTATTTGACACATTATCTTTTTATTTATTATTCTAGGTTTTATGGATTCGTATAAATGTCAACTATACTTACTCTTGTTTATATATTTTGTTTTTTGTATCCGTGCTACTCGAAGAAGCGAATATAGATGGAACTGGTTCAGAGGGTATTCTAAAATGTGAAGCAAAAATGCTTGAAGAGATATTCATAAAGAAGAAGAAGAAGCTTTAATTAAATTCATTATCTCTATTACATCTTGAATGCTTATATTATATCTAATGACTTACATTTGTTGCTGATGTGTATCAATGTTAGTCACTTTTGAAACTTCTTTTAAATCAGTAGGTACTTTAGCTTTGCTAGATAATGAAAGACTAGGCAAGATAAATAAATATTTATATAATTAGCAAAAGAAATAGATGTTGATAGATAGATTATTTACTCTGCTCTTTTTTCCCGTTTATTTTTTTCATATTCAAATGTTGTCTTCCATACTTCTAGCTCTGCTTTAAATATACGTTTTGTTTTTAGTGTTGGTTTTTTTCCACTACCATCTTGATTTGATACAGATAATAAATACTCAATTTGATTGTCAGTCAATTTCATTAGAGCTTCACCATCAATATTTTCGTCTAGTATAAAGGAGTAAAGATAGTATATCTTCAATTCAGATAGTTCACTTACCTTTGAACCTTCGTATATATTTTCCAAAGCCATTCTTGCTTAACCATTGGCTAACTTGATCTACTGTCCAACTTCCCATCAATAAATCTACAATATTTAAACGATAAAAATTACGGATATGGATGTGAACTAGTTTTGGTATGGGTGAATGATAGTGGAAACAAGATCAAGACACACAATCACAATCAATAGATTTTGAAAAGATCTGTCTTAATTTAATCTAGTTCGCCGCTAATGTGTAAATATGTCACGGAATATTATGCTCATTTTCTGATAATGCGAGACATCACATTATACGAGATCTATCGGTCGATGTTGTTGTTTACAGAGTCAAAGAGCCAACTATGTTCATTTGTATCCGCACAACATCGCCTTTTAATATCCGATTTAGATTAGCTGTGCACGACGCTCATGAATTAGTGCTCGACATTCGATACTTTGTTTTTCAGTCATAAGAACTTTCCAAACTTTTCTTTCATATTCAAAAATATTTAATTTAGTTTTAAGACTCTCTTCTCCAAAATCTAATTTCGACAGGGTACATGAAATATGTTAGGAAATTCTCAAGAATCAAGTTGTCAAACAGAGTTTTTACGTCTACAAAATTTTTTCTAATACATTTCGAGATCCACAGTTCGAATTGCTCTTATTTCAAAGAGTACTCATTACTACTTCAGATGAAGGAAAGGTTTTGTTTTTATTTTTTACTTTGATACATTTTTAAGATGACCGAAATCTCAAAAATCTAGGATTTTTCTACTACTGACGATCAATTAAAACGTTTATGGAGGTTCAATAAATCAAGTAATTTATTATATTAAAAGCGATACCGACGCTAAACATGACAAATATGGTTGAAAAAAAAAGCTAATTTGCAATTAATAGGATAATCTTTTGATTATTGGGATGTACCTAACTATTGAGCTAGATTCGTGTATGAGATAATACTTAACATCCAGTCGGGAAATATTTTTTCTACTCGAAACTCGAATCGATTCAACACTTTGTATTCAACTCAATTGTAAGACTCTAGCAGTCGCCGCTTTTTGTAGCTATTGTAAACCGATCGAATTCATTCGTCATGATATTGTTGAAGCTTAAGAGCTTTCGACTAAATTCATCTGGTGAATTCGAGATTAAAGATAGCATGTTGTTCAGCTACAAACTTAGAATAGGTTTATTTGACTATTAATGTTCTTATATATTTCATATACAACTATTAATATTAGTATTCTGTGATGCTAGCAGTAATTTTCATGAGCTAACCGCAATCAGTATGAAACTCAAACTTACTTAGTGTTTGATACGACTTTCGTTGATGTGTTATATCAAAGTAAAGAGACTCAAAAAATGCAAGTAAATATTATCATTCTCGTATCTATTTTCATTTCTGCCTGCTTCAACATTGTCTTTTTCTTATCATGAAAGCTTGTCCTAGGTTTCATGCTGTCGAAGCAAGTCGATTTGCAAACACAACAATACTCAGAAAAAAAGTTGGAGAATCAAAAGCAACAAGACACCGAAAGATAAGAGCAAGTATCTCTAAAATAAATTATTCTTTACTTGTAATCTTCAAACCACCAACGACTAAAAAATATTTTTCGAGTAAGTTTTGCAGTATTTGAAACACTGATAAATATATCAGTAATGTACTGTTCAATTTTTGTCCTTACACTTACAATTTGGATTTAAAGTAAAGGTTTATCACAGTTTTATTCAGGACGATCCGAAAATAGTAACGAAAGTATTTTAAGCTGTCTTATAAACAGCTTAAAGAGATTTTTTTCTCAATATAGATTGATAGTAAAAAACGACGCTCTATGCAATAATTATCAAATTAATAAAGTTTTAATAAGAGCTGTTTCACTACTATGTCTAGTAGTAAAAATAGTTCATATTATCTTCAATATGCGTTTTCGTCTTGATTTTCTCTTATTCTTAAAAGTCCAGGTATGGGTGTAAATCTTCTTATAACACACAAAGGTATACCGTCATCCTCTTGATAATTTCTGCTCAATGATATTACCTGTTTCGCGTACTATACATCATATACTCTCTCAAAATGTTTTATTTTAGATATCAAAGTCAATGGCAGATTGGACAATAGATCAAGTTGGTGAATGGTTGATAGAAAACGGTTTTGAAAATAATGTAAAAACATTTAAGGGTAAAAAGATTTTTTTGTATTTTATCTAATTATATTACCTTTCTTTTATGAATTATTATATTAGATAAAAACATTGATGGCTTGACCCTAATGAGAATGAACGATGATAATATTTCACAAATGTTATGTACATTTGATGAAGATGGAATTATTGAAAAACCAACAACTGAAGTAAAAACTAAATTTAAAGAAAAATTAGAGGATTGGAAAGTAATGGTTGAATTAGAACAAAATAAACAAGTGATCAATAACGAAATAGAAAAGTAAGCAAATTAAATATAAACATTCATTCTGTTGAGTATATTTAAGATATTCAACTAGAATGTCTGCTTCTTCACCATCTATTAAGACAAGGGATTATTGGATGGATGATGAAACTTTTTCAAATATGGGTTCTATGGAAGAAAATGAAGAAAAAGCGTGAGTATATAAAAGTTTCATTTAAAAAATTTAGATTCAATTATTTCAAACAAATTAAGTTATATCTTTATCTTCCTGGCACATCTACTAACATAATTAATTTTTTATTATTATTTTAGAAAGTCTGATGATATATTATCTTCCACTTCCTCCCTTTCGAATGTGTCATTCGATTTAAGTAAGGTAATTATACAACACGTTTTGATAGTTGTAAATTCATGAAAATTCAGGATTTTCGTTTTAGAAGAAGTTTTATGAATAATAAGCTACTGATAATAGGCGTTCAGACACTTTTCATTTTTGTTTAGAACGACATTGAAATTACTTGATATTTCATTCGAAGAAATCTCATTAGGATAAATTTTACTTGAAACTAAAGAGAAATAGAAAGATAATAATTTAAGAAGTAAAAGAAGTTTGTATAATAAATTTGTTAATCCAAAATTTTTACTCAAAATTAAAGAAAAATTCTTTTTCACGATAAATATCGAGTGACTGTTGGAATTTTTCTTACTACTGAAATTCGATGAAAACTAAACTGTTTGCTACAAGAAAAAATGCCAAAAAAAAAGATAGATCGAAAGTGTTTTTTGTACCATTTAGTGACTTTTACTGTCATCCATGCTGGGCAGATAATCTGCACAGAAGGTTTTTACTTTCTTTGCTGCCACATTGCTAGCTTCTCTTGACTGTTGCACCTTTTCCTTCGCATACCGGCCAGTACAGTATCTATCGACATTGCTTGTAGATCTTTCCTTTTCTTCGAGCTTGTGATCAGCGAGTTTGTGCTTCCAACGACTTGCCGATTGTTGTCTCGGACCAGGCTTCAGCTTCTCGAATGGAGTACCAAGGAGTAAAGTTCGTACAAGACTTTCACGAAACTGCAGAATAGTCATGTCACTTGCGACATAATTTTCCTTGTAAATCAAATAACTATTAACTAATGTGATTCCAAATATCAATTCGAATGGCACCTTTTTATACCATTTTATTGATTGTCTGAGACATGTATAGTATGTTGATGGTTGATTTGATAAATCACTACCTTGTCTCTCTTCGTTGTGATCGAGAACAACTTGTGGTTTCATGATGCATTCATTTAGTTTATTGGTTTTTCTAGTGTCCACCACAGTTGCTGAATGGAGATGACTTTGTAGATATCATCAAAACGTCTCTTTTATCTTTCCATTTGATCAGTTTAATGCCTTTTTTGTGCTGGAGCCCATAAACTTTACCATATTTGAGTTTTTTCTAAACAACTTTATATTCTGATCTAGCACGATCACTGCTCAATGTTCAAAAGTACTGAAGACAGAACAGACGACATATTATGTTTAACCTTCTGCTTAAGAAAAAAAGCAAAAGAAAATGCATTTCTATACAGTTTCTCATTAAAATATAGCGTGTCGAATGTGTTGAGACAATTAATTACGATATCTTTTACCTCTGGATTTCTTGTACTTCCTCAATAATTTTTTATTTCATGTTTTACCTATATCTTTATAGATCGATTCATCAAAACAAGAGATTTTGAAATTACCTTCGCCGACAATATCCCCTGATAAAGATCAAATAACTGACATTACTACTAGTATTGATAAAACAAAATATTTAGTTAATGATAATATTCATATTCAATTCTTCAAGAATCCAAAATTTGGTACATATCTAATAGAATATTTACAACAAAAAATATCTGGTGTGAAAATTAAAATTGAACAATCATCATCCATAAATGATGAATTATTTTCATCATTCAACTACATATTATATTTATCAGGATCAAACCAAGACATTGAATCTACTTACGATGAGATCAACAACTTATTTCAAACTGTAAAAATAAAAATATATAAATCACTTCGAGGTAAAAGTTTCAAAATATATATATTTCACTAATACATGATATATCTAAATTGATGAAAGTTTTCAGTCAAATCGAAGACGAGAGACTTTCTATTAATTCTATGTTTTTTTCCATGGAAAATGGCTACTAGAATATATTTCTGTATTTAGACAAAATATCATATCATAAATTATATTTTTTTTATTCATATTTCAGTTAGAACATGGTTACGCAATCCAACAGCAGTTAGTATCATACAAGCAATAATGGATAATGAAAATAATCTATTTACTGTATGTCAATCAAATGGAAAATATAATGATATTCTGAAAATTTTCTATTTTCATAATGAAAAATTTAATTATATTCAAAATATTGATAATATTATTCAAAGTTATATTCGAAAAAAGATTATTACACTACCATCAATAGTTGACAAAAATATGATAGAAAAATCTAAAAAAAACACTAAACATGATACTCAATCAGGATATTCTACTAAGTATACAGAACAATATCAAAATAAATTAAAGGAAATGATGGAAAATTATAATGAAGAAAATAACATGATTTCTATTATTTTAAATGAAAAAATATATAATAAAGTAAGAAAACAACAGAGTATTCATATATTTGGATCTATCAAATTAGTTAATGAATTTATACAAAATTTTCAAAATTTAGCTGATAAAGATACTTTTACAGTCTTCAAATTCAATCCCATAACATCAATTCAAGTAAGTGTTTTGTGTTTTTTATAGAAATACCATTCTGAGAGTATAGAAATATAAAATCCTATGCTTAAATTCTAGATCAACCTAAACTTTACTTCTTAGCTCATATCAAATTCGCACTTTGTTGAAACCACTATGTATAGGTATTATGAACTAAGTACAATATTCACCTGGCAACTACGATATCTAAAGAAATTTGACATAAAAAACAATTGCTAGAATCTAAATGTTCAGAATTTACACTAAAACTATTAAATTAATGTGATTCTTTGTTTAATCAATTTTCTTCATAGATTTACATAAGTTTTAGTAAATAATCGGAAGTTCTATTGATTATAAATCAGGGTCCAATGTGGATTAATTTTTCGAGATTGGACATGATTCAATCCTAGTCAGACTTTGATATAAATTGATGAAATTCAAAATACTTCGAGCAGTAAATGATCTTCCATGTGTTAACATTTTCAAAAATTAATCATAACTTTGAATGTAAATCGTATTCTTTCTTTAGATGGAATATCTTACAAATATTGGCTTGAAAGATTTAAAAGTAATAGAAAAAGAATATCAAAAAGAGAATGCCAAAATACGAATACGATATGATGAATTTTATGCACCAGAAAATCTTAAAAATGATATTGAACTTAGTATGAATACTTTATTATCTTCATTAGAATCAATTACATTTGAATGTATGCCATTATATTATGATATAGCTGATAAAGAAATTTTACATTTGAAAAATATTGCACATAAAAATCGTTGTGGTTGTGAATTGATATTAAAAAAGAATTTAAAATTATATAGAATTCCAAAAGCTATAGAAACATCATCTACAATTAATTTTGTTTCAAGATCACTTATTAAACAATCTGAATTATTTTGTTCTTCACCTGTAGTTAGTCAACAAGCAAAATCATCGAATGGATCAATTGAAGTTCTTATTGGTGATATAGCAGTACAAAAGGTTAGCAAAAAAAAACAGCAAACTATGCTTTTTTTTCTATTATGAAATTAAGCAAAGCAGACTAAATTGATCTTTGATATTATTTCATGAATTGTTGTTTCTGACTTAACTATAGCTTGTTACAATCATTTTAAATCTAATATTAATATTTATTAAGTTTATAATTTATCCTAACAAGATATGAGTAATATTATCAATGAGTTTTGTTGATATATTTTTTTCCAGTGTAATCTTTTAGATTCTTAACAAAAGAATACGTTGTCTTAATTAAGGATTCTTTCTAATGTTCTAGGCTGATGTGCTTATTATTCCACTCGTATCATACGGATTAAAACAAAGTCTTATTGAACGAGCGGGTAATATCATAAGACAAGAGCAACCAGTAGATAAAACCGAAAAAGATAAAAATTCAACTCCTTTCTTCATTGAAACAACAGCAAGTAATTTAACGTGTAAAATTGTCTTATTTTCAAACTGGTCACCATTAAAGGCAGCGATGAACGATGATAATTTAGTCGAACATATACGAAAATTTATTTCGAAATCAATTAAATATGTCATTATGAAAAATGAACAATCGGATATAAAAATTGAATCAATTGCATTTGCAGTACCTGATTCATGTAAAAACGAAAATATTTTAGCTGAAGAAATGATTCATGAAACCAAACAACAAATTGAATTAATGAAATCACCATTAAAAATTTCATTTATTATATTACCTGATCAACAAACATTGTATCAACAATTTTTAACAGCTATTCAAAAGGTGCAATCAAATGATGATGTTTATGCAGTATTTTCCTGTCCAATGTCAAGTAGGATGTTATCTGCTACTCATTTCAAAATAGAAGGCGGGTG